AATGGTGATTGGCTGCCATATAATTGGTTTTCATAGGCAAATGACTGATGTCTTGGGCAGTCAGGGAAAGTTTTAGCAAGGAGGTGCTGTGTGTGTGTATGCGCGTATGCACGCTCTGTGTGTGTTTCCGTCTGTCTTTCTGCGGTGGGCACAAGAGCAAGTAAGAGTGTAACTTTCTGTGTGTGTGTTTTACACGTGCTCAGGCATTAATGAAGGCCATTTCCATTGTAAAAGCCTATACAGGCAGACAGAGAGGAATTAGTCTCATTTATTGATGTTAAAAGGGTTTTGGACTTTTTAATAGATGCAAAGCAGCATGTGTTCCATTATTTTAATATAATTCACCTGCTATGAGACATGCTTGGCCTCATGACTGACCACAAATGAAGGCTTACAAGGGTCACCTATGAGCATTGCATTCATGAAAAAGACAGCTTACATGCAGTCCTTCCTCTAATGATTATTTATACTCTAAAACTTTTTGCTATCATCTCTCCATTTCTATCATTATATCTCTGAAGGTTTAGTGCTAAAAATGTATGACAACCCACTTAATTACAAAATGAGATTGACGAAGGCTTTGCAGGTCTCAAATGACAGACAGAAACTAATTACCTGAAGTTTCATAATGCTGTATTTACTGTAAACATACAGAACCTAGGCCATCAAATTACACGCCTCGCAGAGTTGAATTGCACGTAGATGAGATGAAATACAGGTCTCATCGGAATTGTAGAAATGAGTGCGGAAGAAGTATATGCGTGTTGGGCCACAGTTTCACTAGTTTACGAATGATATACTGTAGGTTCAAGTGTTGTATTTTGAACAGTGATATCTGAGCCATGCCCTCAGGGGCACAGATGTATCATCTATCGAGATTGGAGCTGCTGTTTCTCCTGTTAGATGCCACTATTTTAGTCCTCTGATTAAACCCTCCTCCCCAACCCAACAACTTTGCACCTGTAGCAGAATAAGTGGCAAGTGAGAGTGAAATGAGATGCTTGTGTTTGATCCAGCAAACTGAGTAATAAGTGCTGTAGCAGTCTTGAGATCCTCAATGTCACGATCTGCAGTGATAACACCCTTCACACTGTGTGTACTGTACATGCAGGATGAGGTTATTAATATGAGCTATTGTGGCAGTAATTGTAGCCTACTCTGCCTGTAGCCAACAGTGTACATTTGTATGCACATGAATTGAGTGTGTGTGTGTGTGTGTGTGTCCTTGTGTCCTTGTGTCCTTGTTAATGACCCGAGAAGGTGCAGTTAGTCATCCTTACCTTCTGCTGGTACTGACACATAACCCATCTGGTCAAGCCTGGACAGATGCATCATCTAGTTGGCTTCCAGACCTGAACTTCCCCTCAAATTGTATCTCACATCATGTCAGACTCTACAGTTCAGTGGGCTAGAGGAGTCCCTGTGGCCTAATCCAGAGGTCAGCAGCTGTTTTCAGTGCAACATCATCGTTCAGTCAAATGAGTTGATGTGTCCAAAAGATATCCATAACATGCTTGTAAAGAATCATGTATCAAGATAGAAAGATACTGATGAAGTGCAGACAAATTGAGAAGAATGTAATGTAGCTGCAGATGTGCTCAGGGATGTTTGAAGGTATTTGGTCTTAGACTATAGTCCTGGACAAACTGAAATGTGTGACCTGATGATGTCGCCACATGAGGAGTCAGGGGATCACTAAAGGTATAATACTCCTCCCGAGGGGGACATGAATGTTTGTACTAAATTTCACGACCAGTCCATCCAACAGTTGTTGACATTTGTCATTCTGGACTACAATAGTGAACCAACATGGCTATTCACAGAGCCATACCACTCGTATGGCTAAAACATTTTACCAAATTTGGTTTTACTCCGACCTTGGATTAATGTAAAACAGTAGCTATTCATCACACATACCCAGATCGAGCCATTGCTATATTCTAAGCTTCATGGTCATTGCAGCAACAAACCCGAGCATAAATGCTGTAAAGCCTGATGTTGACATTATGTAAATTGTTGTGTGATGTGTGTCCTCCATAAGCATGTGGGTCGTGGGCACTCACTGGATTTTGTATTATTACATGCTGCTAACTGATGGCCGTCCTCTCTTCCAGACAGAAGTCATCGCTATACACATTGCTGGTCTGCTGTGTTGTTTTCGTATGCTGCACTCAGTCCTAGTGTGCATTGCGAAGTGCTTCAAATAGTGGTTTTGGTGAGGTGCACTGGGATTGGAAGTGTTGAAGGCTACCACCAAGCAACAGACTCTTGAGACCGCAAAACATGTGATCTAAGCAGATTGGGCGATTGTGGCTAAGTGGATAGCAGGGTCGTCTTTCAATCAGAGGGTCGGCGGTTCGAACCCCAAAATTGCTCCCTGTGCCTACGGTGTAGAAATGTGATAGACTCTGAATTGTAAGTCGCTTTGGATAAAAGCGTCTGCTAAATGACTGTAATGTAATGTAAGCTTTGAAAGAAGAAATAAAATCCAACATTGTTCTGATTCTCCACTAAATGAGGTGCCTAACAATCGAGTAGCTCAGCAACAGAGGTCATTTACATCCTGAAGGTAGATCTGAGATACTCTTGTAAGCCAAATCGTCTACTACATTGGTGCACCTCACAATGAGACCAAGGGCATCTGCGAGCAGAGATGACTCTCAGAGATGAATTTCGGGCATTTGCGTCACCTTGGAACCAATTAGACAGAGAAAAATGGCTTGTTGAGAAAACCTTAACAGGTTCCATTTGAACATTTTCTTTGAAGTGCTCATTGCTCACCATTGACAAGGTTCCCAAAAGGGTTTCTAGTTTCCTGTTTCTATGTACTGTAAGACTTTTATGAATACATAAATGAAATGGCTTGCTTTCACGGAGGTTATAGTAACACACAAATGAACTCCCAATTCATTAATACCAAGGCTGTTTGGTGTGGCAGGCAGCTCAGTTTATATTAAATAATTTTGTTACTGTGGTCAATACATTTTTGGCATAAAGTTAATTCCCCTTGCCTTATCATGCATTATGACTAGCAGTTTAATATGTGTGATATCTCAGTCAGACTGTTTTGTGCTGGGTTAGTTTTTGAAACATTTGTTTGATAAACATTTCAATATTGGAGAGTTAAATGTGCCACCGAACTTAGCCAAGCAGTTGCATCTGTGGATCTGGCACAGGGGCAATCAGATGTTTATGATTTGGCTTCCACGTTTATTCCTCTAACACTGTTTTCTCTCCAACACTCAGTTTCTGTCAACCCCCTAATGTTTTGTTCTCCGTTCTCCTTTGCTTCTCACACCATAGATCCCTTTTGAGCCCATTCTCTCTAACCTCCTCCCAGTTCCCTCTTTTCCTCTTGTTCTCTCTCCCTCCTTCTGAAGCGTGACTCACCTCCAGGCTGTATTTCTATATCCTTGTGTCCTTCTTGCTTCTATATCTTTGTCAAACTTCTTTTTACTCTCTTGCTTGAAGCACTTGAGCTCTCATTCAGTGCATACAAATAGATATCCAAGCACATGAGAGGTTATTATGTTGGTTTGTATTTGTGATGTCATATTTGTACTGTGAGGGCTGATTCTGTTAATGCGGTCTACTCAAAAGAATACTGAGGGAATGATTTGCTAGCATGTGTATAAACAGATTTTTTAGTGCTACTCCTGTAACTTTTTAATTATTTCTTGTAAAATAGCATCAATATTGTACGTTAGAGCCCTTGCATTTGTTGCAATTATCAAAACAATTCCTTTGTAATCAGACAGTGATTGTGCATTTGAGTCTCACCAACTACAGTATGTGGCCCTTCTTGCTATTATGGAACATCATAGTCAACTTAATTATTTGTTTTGCCTCTGCAGGCTTCCTCCTGTTCTATTCCCCAATTAGCCTTGTTCAATAATTGGCTGCACCTCCCGTTGAGAAATGAACAGTATTCCAACTTCAAACACACTAATCACAAAGGCCGCATCAGCAGGGGGTTGTGTGTGCGTGTGCGCGTGTGTGTGTGTGTGTGTGTGTGTGTGTGTGTGTGTGTGTGTGTGCGTGTGCGTGCGTGTGTGTGCTTGGCCACTATCTGCCCTTGCCCCTGGTGACAGGATGTAAGGCAAGGAGGAGAGGGGAGAAGCTCAGCCCTGTCATTGGGGAGCGCTTATCGCACTGAGCCAGGAGACACACAAACACACAGAAATGCATGGACACCGGTGCATACCTACACTTACAGCCATGCACTCACACAAATGCATACAACGGTATAAACTCACACATTTGACAGAAGCAAAGGAGTGCTAAAATGATTATTCAATAAGCTGATTCGTTTTTTAATCAGCAACAATCATCATAATGGATAAGCATTTGACATTTATCTAGAAATCGTCATCAAACAAAGTGGGGAGTCCTCTTCATCTTCCTTGAGTGACAGAGGCATGGCAAGGGGAGAGGAGAGGGGACAGCAGAGAAGTCACTTCATCAACCACAGTCCGATAATTCATCAGCAGCTGTTTAGCGTGCTGCTACTTTGTCTTCATTAGCAGCCGCTGGTTTTGCTTCATAAAAGTCATTCGAAAAGTTGTTATCAAAGATCCCGCAGCACTCTATCCATGTACCCTGGTCCTCTCCTCAGGTCCTCATTTAGAAGAAAATAAATAGTCTCCCTCTCTGCTATATAGGATCAACTTTCTATTGAATATCATTGAAGTTGCAGGAAATTACAGGCTAAGTTAAAACCTCAGAAAAGGAGTTTTAGTTGATGAAATAATTTGTACTGAGGAGATATTAAATGAGCCACATTAGACAATGGACATGAGATAACAGTGTTGTATCCAGAATAGATGGATAGCTCTTTGGAATGAAATGAAGATGGATGCATAACCATTTGAAATAAAAACCATTCCTACAATGAATTTATTCTGCAGCTTATCGTGTATGCCACAGAGCTGATGGAGGGTACAGTAGGTCCATGCCGGATGGGCTGTGTGAGAGTTGTGATTCTATCTATTTTTCCACAGATAACTACTGGAATGCCGCGTCCTTCACCACCCCGTCATCCTACCTGCACTTTGCCACCTTCCAGGGTGAGACCAGCGCCGACATCTCCTTCTACTTCAAGACCAGCGCGCCCTACGGCGTCTTTCTGGAAAACCTGGGCAACACTGACTTCATTCGCTTGGAGCTCAAATGTAAGATGCATCTGAGTGATTGTGTGTGTGCATGGGAGTCTTTTTTTCTCTCTCTGTTTGTGCCCTCTATAGTCTCTCTCTTGCTCAGACTCTTTATCTGGCCTGGTGTGAGGTTTAATGCACCAGTGTGATAGGGCCGTGTGCAACCTGCCACCACACACACTCAGAGTCACATACAATCACACTGATGCTGACGCACACACCAGCAACAGTCAATTGCCTTCCTGATTATAGTGCACTACTTTGTGTGATTGCAAGAGAGAGCAATCATTTATTTAAGGTAATTGGTGTGTGCAATAATTATGTCCATTATAAACCTCTGTTTAACCAAATCACCCATTTTCAGGGTTGACATAACACAAGCTCACACACATACTCTCTTAAAAGTACAAATACACACATACACCCACACACACAGGGTCACAATGGTGTCAGTGAAATGGGTAATCTTGTGTGTATTTCGTGATGTGTGTACCTGCACACATTCAAAAGATGGACATATTCCCATGCAGGAAGCATCGGCAGTGTCACATCTCAACTCTTTCACAATTCCTAATACAAAGACGAACACATGCACACAAAAAAATCGATATGTGAACCATTTAAAAAGTCATCAAAATACATTTTCAGCATTAGAAAAAAACTATGCTAGTTAAAAATGTCTAAAATATTGAATTACAATCTGTATTTCGTTGACTCAGCTGACAGAAACACTTAAACACTAAAGTTTATTTATTTGACATTCTGTAGCTAACCTCTGAAAACTGAGATGAGTATATGATAAAATGTGTTTCGATATGCATTTGAGACATTAGCATAACAGGTGTTGCCTGCTTATTTTTGCAAACCTTATCTTTCACAAGCTTCTCCTGCCGAAGGTCAAAACTACAGTCTGTTGTTCTGAGCTGTGACAGATGTACAGGATCTCACAGTGGAGAGAGAAAAAGTGATGCATATGAACACACTGAGATAACTCTGAAATCAAGCAGAACCTTACATCATCTGTGATAATGCCTCTAATGTGAAGGGGCCCTCCGCGGTCTGTTTTCCCTCTGTGGCCTCGGCTGAAAGTGAGGGAGAAGACCTGGACGACCCCTGCCTACGACAAGAGGAGATTATCATCAAGCTGACGTGGAATACCTTTTTTCTTAAATTTGTTCTTGAGAAAAGTCTTCGTCAGATTGATGGTGTGTTGATAAAACCACAGAATTGTTCCTCCCTTTGTTCTTATATTGATTAATCCCATTGTCCTCTCAAATTGAAGGCATGTCCCAGTCTTAATTAGCATAAGGAGACACCCTGCCGTCTACACACAAGGGCCTGAGACTGCAAGGCCGTCTGCACACACAGAAATTGAAATGCCCAAACAAAAGTCTAAAGAGGGTAGAGCAGTTTATTATTATTGATTATTTGGTAATCCGCAAATCAATAATCAAGTAAAGATTATGATAAATGATGTTAATATAGAAAGAGTGTATGAATATACATTTCTGTGTAATTTTGTATGAACATGTCAGCAGTCAAATGTGCATACGTGTGCACTTCAGTGTGCATAGATTCTGTTCTTACCTAAGAACAAATCCCAAATAGGAAAACATTGGTGAATCTTCGGGAAAACTATGTAAGTGAGTTTTCAAAGGAACAGTGTGCAAGATTTAGTGGCATCCAGGGGTGTGTTGCAGATTGCAACCAACTAAATACCCCTCTGCTCAGCCCTCCAAGCGTGTTGGAGAACTACATTATGAAATAATTGCTTTTGAAAACATATATATATATACATACACATATATATAATATAAAAAAAACAATTCAGATATCTATATATAAATATTGTTTCTAGAGCAGCAACAGTTGTGTTTGCAACAGCAAAGTCACTACATAAAATCATTGATTTTTCACTGGAAACAAATGTGAAATGTTGATAAAATAAATAGCATTTCTGAGTGAAGTTTATAAAGAATGAAGAACGCAGACATCCATCAGTTTCAGTGCCTTCTGTCCTCTCTCCTCCTGGCTGCTTCAGGAGCTCAGCACGACAGAGAGAGCAGAGCAAATGCGCGATGCAGCGTGATAATAAATTACACCAAAACATTAAAATTCATGAAAATCCAAAAGGAGACAGTGCAATTGGCATAGACATATTAAGTAACATTTTAGACTTTATACTTGACTCAGACTCTAACTCATAGACTTGGTACAGAGACTTTGAATTTCATTTTCATTTTGACGTCAGACTTACTCATGAACATCTTTGCTTTCTTATCAAAGAAATGGAAGAAATGGCAACAGAGGAGAGAAGAACAAAGCGTCTTACGTGTGAAAAAATGGGACAGTTTTGGACCACCCCATTTCGCATTCTTTAAGTCCTTTCAGAGACGCGTCATTGATGTCATGTAGCAGGTGTCTATGATCGTGTTCCAATGTCTCAAATTAACATCCCAGTGGCCTCAGTGGAGCCGCATTGATCACAAATATTAAAATCTCGGGCTTCAATTTATTCACATTGTGAATGGCTGTTGATAGATAACTAATTGCATTTTATTGAGATTCAAAGGAATTTGAACATGTGTTGTCAGAGAGGCTCGCTTACCATTTGCTGCTGGTGCTCCTGGCCCGCCACTTTGTGTCAAAATGCCTACCACTGAATACACACAAATATCAACGATTTTTGAGCCAAAGTGCTTCCTAAAGCCATTACACAAGGTGACATTATCTCAGCTGGTTTGCGACCTAAATGCTGCATAAGCTTTTCATTTTCTTTCCCCAAATCTTTCTTACAGTTAATCTTGGTTTTGCACAAAGTCATATGCACACCAATGCATGCACACGCTTATTCTTGCTGGAAAAAAAAATATGTGCTGACACTACACTGTACATGCAAGTACAGTGAGAAGTTTGCCAAAGGGGATTGGTCTTTGTCTTCTAAACGTGCACACGAAAACACACATATAGTAAGTACCTAGTCTGCCACGGCTGCACAGCAGGCCAGAGGAGATAGAGAGTGTGTGTGTGTGTGTGTGTGTGTGTGTGTGTGTGTGTGTGTGTGTG